TTGGCGGGAGCCCCATGAAAAATGGGAAACTGATTGCCTTGGTAGTACTGTAGGTCGTGGTGTAGGTCGTATGTATTGGGGCTGCTTTTCCTGGCATGGGGTTGGGCCCATTGTTCTGCTGAAGTCCTCCGTTACCAGTGCCTCGCATATTGAAATTCTTCGAAAATATGCTCTTTCTGTTCTAAAAAATTTTCCGTTAAGAGATCGTGGTCGTCCCATATTCCAACAAGATAATGCCAACCCTCATTTTGCCAACCCTGTGAAAGAATTTATGAAAAAAAATAGGATTCGAGTAATTATGGATTGGCCCCCACAGAGCCCCGACCTTAATCCAATAGAAAATTTGTAGACCGAGCTCAAAATGTCTTTGCGTCGCAAACCAAAGCCAGGTAATGTTAAAGAGCTGGATGCTCTTGTAAAAAAGGTGTGGCACGAAATAGCACCTGAGTATTATCGTCGACTGGTTACTAGCATGCCCGATCAGGTTGCCGCCTGTATTAAAGCTAGAGGGGGACCTATAAAATATTAAAATATAATTAGTTTTTTTTTTGATTAAAAAAAAAATGTAAAAAAAAAAGGAAAAAAAAAAACTAAATTTAGATTTTTGGTCAAATAAAAAAAACCAAGTTCGCGGTTTTTTTTGCTTAACTTTTGCGCAACTTAACGAATTTGTATAAAAATTTAATATTTCGTACCTTGAGATCGTTGTAGCACATGATAAAAATTTTGTGCTATATTTACTTACCTGTTCCTGAGTAATAAATTTTCAAAAAGTGTCCACATATTTATGGTAGGTGACTGTATTTCAGCATAATATATTCAATAAAATTTGTATGTGCGTATATACGCATCAATTTTTATGAATCTATTATGCCGAAATAATAAATTAACCAGATTAGCCAAAAATCATTCAGCTAATTTTTTACAGGTATCCCAGGAATTATAAAAGAGCTGCAAACCAAAATCACAAACCAGTCATATGGAATGATCTCCTATCGATAATGTCGGTAATTTTTTGGTAATTTTCTGAACAAATTGCCATATCTCCAAGAATTACCTATAACCATGCTCGTGTTTTATGTTGGTTAACTGTCTCATTTCAGATAGCGTTCCCACAAAAAATAGCTCATCCCCAGTAATTTGATCAATCAAAATTTAAGATCAGGTGTCAAAATAAGCGTGTTTTGCTTTCTAAGTAAAAAGTTACGTGTAAAATGAAAACCAAGAAAACCGTGTTATAGTTAAGGTTAGAATTAGAACAATATGGCGCCTAATAGTAAAACGTCATGAGGAATATTTTTAATTAGGCCGCAGAAGGCTGTTTCCTAATTATAATTTTGTAAAAAATGGTTTGTTTCGATTTCTACATTACATCTGATCCAGAAATTCAATTAGTCAAAATAACAGGGGTGAACAATTTTTGTGCTGAATCTATGATTAATTTCAATCTAATTTGAATAATTTAGCAAAAATTCTGGCACTTACATCAATTATCTTAGTTACTTACCATTTAAAACTTAACTTATTTTCGTCGGCCTGCCCGCCCTGTGAAGGTGTGAGCCGACCCTCTGCCCGCCCGCCCGCCCGCCCAGCCGGCTGATGGGCCAGGGTTGGCCCATATCACTATCACTGACAATTATTTCACCGACAAGTTTATTTCACCGACAGTTTAGGGACGTAACAAAAATCAGGTGATAAATGACACTACCCTTATTTCACCGAAGCTCATTTCAATACAAACTTTTTTTTATAAATCCCACCAACCTTAACTCTAATTCTAACCTAACCTTAATGACAATGACCAGAATTATTTTGTTAGTGAAATGAGCTTTGGTGAAATAAACTGTCAGTGAAATGAACTTGTCGGTGAAATAAACTTGTCGGTGAAATAATTGTCAGTGAATTTTTGTGGGTGAAATGTTATGTCTACGAAATGACCGTCGGTGAAGAGACCTGAACTGCTAAATTTTTACCTGTACCCTTATAGAAGGATATTCACCTGATTGGTTAATGCAATCAAATTACCCAGATAACTTATCCAGTATTGCCATAAAAATTTTACCCCATGTGATTATTGACCAACAAAAGATCATGTTTAGTATAACATAACACGATCAGGAAAATTCAAAACGTCTCTTTCGTTTATTTCTCAAGAATTTGCATAAGAAACTACCTTTCGTGCACTAACTAAAAGTTTTTCTTACGCGAGTTTGACACTAACTGTAACGTAAACGAACTTAAAGAATATTCTCGGGGTAAACTTTTCCTGTTACGTCCATAGATTTTCCGTATCTAAAGCGGAGGCAAATCATGTGATTAACCGCCAATCAAATTATAGAATTAAAACAAAAAATATTCAAAAAATGCAAAAAACAGCAGTCTAAACCTACCTCGGGTAGGTTACAAAAATGTCAGGAAGGCAATTTTGTTTATATATAACTACCTAAAACCTAACCTAACCCTAAAGTTAATCGAGAAAATTATTAAGAAATATGAGTGCCTCCGCTTTAGACGTCCCGTTATTTTGGAATAAATGATGTATATCACTTACATTACTTATAAGGTAGCTGCGCGACGCAGTCGCGCTACAACCAGGAATGCAGAGAATGATTTTGTAATTGAATATACTAGTTCTTTATATATTAAAGCTTTTTATTCGATATGAAACTAGAAAAAATTAAAAATATTTATATACGTTGTTGTAAAATAAAAAAAAAATTTCGAAAATCATCGCATGCAATTTTTTATAGTCTGATATACCGGAATTGAATTTCTTTGATGAACTCAGATTATATTAGTTACGAATTATCGTTATGTGTTATTAAAGCTGAAACGGGATATGCTCACGTAATATTGCGTTGGGAGAACACCGTAAGCAGTTGAGTTTGTGTGGTTTAGCTGTGGTTTCCCGCAGGCTTACTGTTAATATGAACATATATTTAACAGTTATAATTCTTATTGAAATTGGTAAGTTCTATTAGGTGTGGCTTATGTCTTATTAAAGCTGAAACGGTATGCTCCTGGAAATAGCAAATAATATGTAACATAAGACTGCGCCGGGAGATTACCCTAAGCAGCTTAGCACTGGCCGGTGGTTTCCGCCTGCATACAGTAATTCAGGCCGGTCGTCAATATGAACATGTAATATCGATATCCAGCAGTTACATTTATGAAAATACTGTTTCCTTTGGGAGGGAGTGTTGGATCGTAGATTGTAGTCTATCGCAACTGAGTGAGCAATTGTTGGTGTAGGTCCTGATTGCGTTTCCCAAGGGTTTAACTTCCTTCCTATTGCTGCTTTATTAAGTTAGTGATTACTGCTTGTGGAAAGTCATTCAGATCATACTCACCTCCTTTGATTATCCGGAATCGGACTTAACCTGGTCAATAGTTTCACAAAGTGCATCACCATACTTAGCATCTTTTGAAACTACCCCAGTATCGCCACCAAAAAGTTACTATCACGTGATTCTAAACAAATCAGATTTCAAGATCAGGTGTAACG